AAGAGTGTGCTCCCTGGGCCTCTTGGAGAAACCACAGAGTGTACTCTACGGGCTTCTGTTCAGAACGGCTCTTTTCAGAGCCACACAGAGATAATCTTCCGTGATAGAAGTAGTCTGCCGCGAAGCCACAAGAGTTTCCACCAAGCAATCACGACCGTCACGCCAGCAACCAGGAGAAGCTCGTCTAGAAGCGGGGATCTCCTTTTTACCGTGGAAACTCATACCAATAGAATTTCCATGCACGGGGACGACAGTAGCCACGCAGACAAACCCGTGGCTATGTACCTGCATACATAAGTCTCCTACGAACTACACAGACAAGTCTACGATCTCCTTCACCGGCCTGTGACTCCCCCGGCCTATGGTGTTATCAGAGCCAAAGACGCCTTCATCTTGCTCACGGACATCGAGAGAAAGGAAGAAGAGGAAACAGGAACCACAAGAACCAAGCTCGTCTAAAGGAGCTTTTTGGAATCGATTCCTCCGAATGATCTCAGAGATCCCAGGCTCTTCGGAGCCACAATATTGTCTGAGAAGTGAGAAGCGTGTCGAGGGCTTGATTCCGTGCCCTTTATATACTGCTCGTGACTTAATCTTAATCACGAAACGGGCGTACCGCCACACATAGCTAACCTAGCAGCGATAGGGAAAAAATAATTGCAGAATATTTATTATGGGTGCAAAAAAAGACTATTGGCAAAAAACATTATTAAAATAAATTGTTTCTAAATAAATTGTTTAAACGACCTCTTCAAAAATTGTCTCGACACGTCATGGTTTTTACGTATAAATATTATAAATAAATTAATATTATATAAATAAATTAATTAATAAATTAATTACGTAGATTAAATTATTTATTTTAATTATTCGTTAATTTCGGATTTTAAAACGATAACGCCATCGAATTGTAAGAATCGAATTGTAAGAAAAAATACATAAGAATCATACATGTCAATGTTATGATATAATCAAAATAAATTTTTCACAAGCAATTTGTTTAAACAATTTCTTAAAAAAAACTAATTTTAATTGGAAACTGATAGCTCCATCGATTTCTACAAAAAAAATATGTAAGAACCATACATGATATATATC